AGTTTAGCGGTAAATCTGCAGAGCGTGGCTGGCGAAGTACCGCAAACATGCCTTGTCTGTTCTACATCAGGGTGGTAGATGGTGACACACGTTATAATTAGCTGAGATAGAAGCTGTCTTATTAAACTTGGAATACATTGAAGACTAGCTACAAATTTCTGAAGCTAGCGCAGTGGCCTAAACCTACCACCCAAACACGGAACATTTGCATCAACCCATCATAGCGAACAAAAACTACCATTGTGACATAAAACATTATTAGAAACATCTGCCTGTTAAAGTTACACCAGCCCGCCATAGCAACCTGAAACTGCCATGGTAACTAGAACCTGTTATAGTAACCTGAACCTTCTATAGTAACATAAACCTACCGCAGTCACTGGAACCTCTTCCAGTAATGTGAACCTACCATAATATCTCGAACAAATTACGAATGGGGGCTTTCTTATCAAAGGTCAACGACCTTATGCGAGTCAGTGATGGTCATTAAGAACAATATACTATCAGCGTGTCAATGGTGATCTATTCAATCAATACAGAATGACTTATTTCAAGGATTAATGTCATTGATTTAAAAAAAAAATTGTATAAAATCGATTAAAGGATTGTGTTCTAATCAATGGACCTTACATATAGGCGAATAACCTCCAGTGTAGGTCTATGACCTTACTGTATCATCTGTACTGCCTAAAACAGAAAAGTTGAACCTAACAATCAGGAGCTAGTGGATGCTGACCTCACTGGCTGATGGATAAAGACCTTACTTGTTGATAATGAACTAGCTGAAAGACGATGACCTAATGTACAGATAATGACCTACCTGATTGGTAATCTCCAACCGAATGGATAAATAATCTCACTGGTCAACGCGTCATCATGCTGATCAAATATTTCTTCAATGTGTAAATCGATGACCTAACAATGACCTTACAGGTTTCGCTGACATATGTATGTTGCTGTCTCTTCAAGGAGTTACTTTTGGTAGATGTGTTTCACTGTATTCTAACATAAACTTGTGTACATATTTAACTTATCGTAGATGCCTGTACATAATATAAACTTATTTAATGTATGACACCGTGCATATAAACAAAAATATCATGATGTTCCGCTATGTGACGAGTATATCTGAGGTATCCCCCTAATTAAACACAACATACTTCAGATGTAGGGAGATTTGTAAGATTGTGATTACGTTTTGCTGGTAATTGATTGTATTTTTAGATAAATGGTTGGATATAATCTAAATATTAAAGAAAGAAGTATTTATTTTTAGTCGGCTATACCTGTAAATAGTGTTACTCGAAATTCAAATACATTGTTAAACAATAAATATAATACATACTGATTCTATTGGCTAGGAGTCGGCAACCTGCGGCTCTTTTGATGTCAAGATGCGGCTCTCCAGCTCCATGCACAAATATTAATAATTATATTATTTTATTTTCAAAACTCATTTCATTTAAAATAGTATAAAGAAAAACAACTTTAAGCAGGATAAAAACACCCATCAGAGAACAGTTCGAATAGGTGAGGTAGAAAGTATACGGACAGCTGACAGCCGCTTGTGAACTAGGTCCAGCCCCACAGTTGTGCAGTGACCAGCCCCTTGGCAACAGTTCAATGCTTGCCACTGCCCAAGTGCCGACTTTTTCGAATATGGTTAAATGGGGAATGTTATTTATACGGAATGCATCTCTCTATCTGTCTGTAATCAATAATTTGACTCAGTTTTTTTAAGTTATTAATTTCCTACGGTGGGGTACGACTTTACCCTGCGTACAGTGGGGATGGAAGATAAGCCTGGTGAGAGTTTTTTTATGTATAAATATTCTTTCATATTTAAAGCTATTTATTTCAAATCAAAAATCAAATTTATATATCTAACCCTAATCAAATGTCAAATAAGAAATAAAAATGTTAGTGACTCTTTAAAAACTGGGAACTTTTGTAAATTGTTAGTTTTGGCTCTTCCGGCTCAAAAGGTTGCCGACACCTGCTATAGGCCTACCATAAAAATATATTATAAGAGCAGAAAGATTGAGCATTAGATTTACATGACCATGTATGTTACAATGTTAAAGTTGTTTTTTTTTTTTTTTTTTTTTAATATTTTTAATTTTTTTTAATTTTTTTTTTTTTTTCCTTTTTTTTTTACTTTTTTTTAAATTTTTTTTTTGAAAAACCGCAACTTACAATTAGCAACGATGTTAAAGTTGGTCGTATTATAAAAATTATGTCACGTTGTTGTCAAAAAAGTCTGGAGTACATTAAATTGTTAAAATAGAACACGTATTTATAATATCTTTCAGTTCACATAGCTATAGTCTGTTTATGGCGCAAATTATCTCTATCTTAAATCAAAATCTAGCTATAGCAGGTGAAAAAATGTTATTTTTTAAATACTTATATATTACCATTTAAAACAACAATAAAACTTTAACATTCTCGTCTTTTTTATTACAACTGTCCATTCTATACCTCTTGCAGCTCTATTTTTATCTTACCTCCCCTTTTATTCCAAGAAAATTATCATGTAAGACAGCCTTTAGGGCAGAGCTTAATTCTGCTCGTCTGCCAGTGCAGCTCTGCCGCAAGCTGGAGCTTAACTGCCCGTAACGTCTGCTACCAGAAGTTGATTAAAATAGTTGACGTCCCAGAATTCCCGGGGGGTTGGCAGACTTCCCTCCTTCAGCTTTCAGTAAATGTTCTTAAGCCTCTCCCTGGCAATCAGTTTAATGGATCCGCCCCCGGCTTCCCAACCTACTTACTGCTCGTCTTGTGTATAAAAAAAAAGAAGAATGCACAAAAATATAGCATTGCTTATTTTTCATTTTATAAAATATGTATAGGCTTACATTATATTAATATAAAAATACATTATTGTTTAATGTAAAAATGTGTGATTTACAAAAAAAATATTTTTTAAATCTCATTAGTGAAATGAAATATGTTAATTTTTATTTCTCTATTTTTGAATATAACACCTTATAACAATAACATGTAGTCTCGCTTTATTTAGATTCTGTATAACAGTGTTTAGCCAGAATAATCATGATTGATTTTAGCATTGGTAAATTGTGCACAGTCAGCAGATTATATGTATCGGAGCACGTAGGTGGGGTATGGCGTGGTCGAGCGGTAGATCTCAACTTGACTACATCCTTGGTCTAAAGGTTGATCTCTAGTATGTTATATGTACATTTACGTCTTATGAATCAAACACCGACACGACAATATGTACAGACTATACGTGCAGACTATACGTACATACTATATGTACAAACTATACGTACATACTATATGTACAAACTATGCGTACAGACTATACGTACAGACCATACGTACAGACCATACGTACAGACCATACGTACAGACTAAACGTACTAGACGTCAGGTCAGTATGATACGGAGCGGGTGTGAGTTACAGTTGCGTAAAATCCAACGGGAGCACGACCGCCGTACCTGCCTAGTCATGCCTGGAATCATTGAGTCTGCGAAAGTATCGAAATCGGCGTATCGTGTAGTAGGCGTGTTACTAGACCCTATAATACGCGTGTATTTCAATAGAGAAATATTACACTAACATCATCACTTCCAAACGTAACAGAGTTGTTATATTTATGAAAGTGTTACACTTACTTCATTATGCTTGCATTATCAAATTCACATGAATGCTTATACACTTTCGTCATTGCTGCTGATCTTTCATTATATATATATATATATATATATATATATATATATATATATATATATATATATATATATATATATATATATATAATGTGTTTGTGTGTATTTTTCCCTCAGAAGAATCCGAGTAGAGAATAACAGCTGTCTCTCACCACCCCTCCCCCCCCCACCCCCACTACACACACACCTCTCCAAAAGCCTCTTTGTCTACCGGCCAGGCTAAAATAACGAATATGCCGGCACAATCTCTAGAATTAGCACCCAGAGTTCCGGCCGGTCCACGCCCAACAAAGTTAGCCGGATCTAATCTTCCGGCAACCTGACAAATCTCATCCAATCGGCCAGTGTCGTCCGGCTCCGCTAATGACACCACACGGCAGCCTGACCGGCCCAGAGATTAGGGAAGGAATTCGATTCTTGAAAAAATAAAATCAAACCAATAGATTTTACCGACAAACGCGATTTATTATAGGTTTTCATTTTTGTCGGTCGGCGGTTGACGTTAATGGGGAAAACTCGGACGGGAAAAGTGGGTGTGGCTGCTTTATTCGGAATGGGAAAAAAAAATTAAACGGATGAAGATTGCTGTATTTGTTTTAAAATAACATGTAATTAGTTTCTTTTGTGTAAGCAGTTCAACAAAAAAAATGGGGCAAAAATAGCAAAATAATAATTGAATCCATTTCCATTCGAAAAATATCATGTTAAGAAAAGTTAAATTAGATCAGTCTTACCGTTGGCTTAATGCCGTGTCGATTAACCCAAGGCAAGCTAGATAATAGTCCGTGTTTGTGATTTAGTGAGGCGCTGGGATGGACATGCTGTGTTCGGGAGGCCCCGGATATTTTAAATGGACCCCCCCCCCCCCCATAGAACCCCATTTTTTTCATTGTGCATTTTTCCTCCATAAAATCCTACATTTTACGCCTTAGCGTATTATAATCGTAAAATGCCAACAATAAAAAAAGAGATCGAAACTCTAAAACTACACTCAGGGTTGCAGAATCGTCTGTGTACATGAATTCGAATACTTTCGGTAAAGCTAACACATGTGTCAACTCTCTCTCTCTCATTGTGATTGAAAAAAAAATGGATGCGATGATTTTTTTTTAAAGATTAATATTGATAAAATATATTAAAAAGGCAACAGTGCAAAAGAAATAATAAAAATAATTCATTGATATGAAATCTATATCGGGTTTACCTCTATATTAAACTTTATTTATTAACACATTAGAAAAAAGTTGCTTTAGTGATAAAGAAACTTTGTACTTTATTTTAGTAATTAGATCTAGGTTAAGATC